CATTCAGGTAAGGGTATCCAGGAATATATTGGTAACACAGGTCTGTTGCTCCACAGAAAGGTCAGTCAAGAGATACAGATTTGGTGTCATCGCCAAACAAATGGATCAATGATTATGGATGAGATCACCCAGTTTGTAGAGTTACGGGGTCCAAACAGAACACTTAGAGAATATGGATGATTAAGAAGATCCAGAAGCTATGGAAGAGACAGAATTGTAGTCAGTTTATATTAGAATCTCCCCAGGAAGTTATAGTGATTAAAATTAGTTTGTGGAGCCCTGGCCAGTTTGGCTCAGCGGTTAGAGCGTCGGCCTGCGGTCTGGAGACACCCGGGTTCGGTTCCCGCTAAGGGCACGTACCTCGGTTGCAGTTTGTCCCCAGCCCTGGTTGGTCGTGCGGGTGGCAGCCACTCGATGTGTCCCTTCACGTCGATGTTTCTCTCTCTCTCCCTCCTTACTTTCTCTCCCTCCCACTCTATCTGTACAAAAAAATGGAAAAATATCCTCGGGTGAGGATAAAAAAAAAATTAGTTTGTGGATTACTGTCCCTTGTTAACTAGGGTAGGTGATTCCTAACTCTTGGTCTGAATTTTTTTTTTTTTTTAATGTTAAAATGTTTCCAACTACTTCACAATGACTAATTTAAGTTTCAGTTACCCTTATACAAATAGGCCCAGAACTGTTTTCCAGGGAAAATCTTAGCACTGTTTACAAGGACTTCCTTGGCCCATCCGAGGTAGGTGTGGTTGGTTAGTCCTAGTTGGATTCTTTGTTTTTAATAAGAAGGTGTCAGCCCTGCCCACCTCTGAGTTGACTGGCTGAGTATTAAGCACATGGATCTGTCCATGACCAGCAGCACTGGAAAGTATATTCATTCACACACAAAAATGTAGCTCCAAACTCTTTGCTGCTCCATTCTTGTCAGTTAAGGGAAAATCCTTGGATGGTGCTGATGGATAGGCTGATAGTCGAAATTGTACCCTGGATCAACTGAGACTATGGGGGTGGGCGGTTAGTAATTGGCCGGGACTCTTCCTGGTCACTGTTAACTTGCTTTTACTCAATTTGGTACGATAGGGGTTGATAAACGTGTGGATACCTTGAACAACCTGACACTTTGGCTCTCCAGCCAGACTAATAATGTGTTCCCTTCCAAACAATATTCTTGAAAAGTTTGTTCAACATTTATTTAAGTGGAAAGACAGAGAAGGGGGACAGCTGGAGCAGTGTCCCAGGGAACAAAGACCTTGTAGTGACTACACCCTAAATTCTCAGACACCAGCCATGGGCCATGTAAGCATGCATTTTCTAGATGGGGAGGCCTTATCCCACCCAAGTGATTGGCCAGACTGGTTCCTTTTAGCCACATCCTTCCGAGAAGAGCTCAAGTAAATAAAAATTGCAGTTATGGGTTGGCACCCCAGAGATTGCGGTATCCTTTTAGCAAATGGCTCCCGCGTCCCCACTGGGTTGGCTCCCGCGTCCCCACTGGGTTGGCTCCCTCCAGTGTGTGCTGCCGTGTCTCCTCAGTGCCGTGTCCGCGGCGGGAGGCTGGGAAGAGCAGAGGCACCCTCTGCCGACTTCACAGCCTCCCTCTGGCAAAGACGTAGTTGCTAAAGGCGTGCACTTTATTTAGTATTCTACCCTCAGCCCTGCCTTTATTATATCTCCTTCCCCTAAGTGCCTTATTTATTCATTATTTACGTTGCTGGATTTATTATTCTTTAGGTTTCTCAGATACTTTTTAAAAAAATATTTTATCTTGCCCAGCCGGTGTGGGTCAGTGAACTGAATGTCGACCCATACACCAAGAGGTCACCAGTTCGATTTCCAGTCAGGGCACATGCCCAGGTTGTGGGCCCGATCCCCATTAGGGCATGCAGGAGGCAGCCAATTGATGTTCTCTCTTATCGATGTTTCTCTTTCTCTCTCTCCCTCTCCCTTTCTCTCTCTCTAAAATCAATAAAGAAAAAAATTAAAAAGCCCAGAAAATTAAACATCACTACCAATCTCACCATGACACAGAGATGACCCTTTTAAAAACATTTGTTTAGCCCTGGCCTGTTTGGCTCAGTGGTTAGAGCGTCGGCCTGCGGTCCAGAGAGACCCAGGTTCGGTTCCCGCTAAGGGCATGTACCTCGGTTGCAGTTTGTCCCCGGCCCTGGTTGGTCGTGCGGGTGGCGGCCACTCAATGTGTCCCTTCACATCGATGTTTCTCTCTCTCTCTCTCTCTCTCTCTCTCTCTCTCTCTCTCTCTCTCTCTCCCCCTCCCCCTCTGTCTGAGCAAAAAATGGAAAAATGTCCTTGGGTGAGGATTAAAAATAAATAAATAAATAAAAACATTTGTTTATATATCTTTCCAGTGCTTTTTTATGTATATGAATTCACACTTTAAAAAAAAACATACTTTAAAAATAAACCTGGGTGTGTGCCCTGACCGGGAATCGAACTGGATATTTGGAATTTTCATAGCTCTATCTCCTCTCTTCCCTTTATTATTTAATCATTTATTTGAAGCAGTATGGACTCATGAACATTTGACACTGGCTTATATGTTATCCAATCCTTCATTTCATTGCTCAGGTTGTTCCGGCATTGGTTATGGGGCTCTTTCAGTTGGCTCAGGTGTCCCTGTGACACTCCTCCACCAGTGGCGTTTTGTCCGCGTGTGTTTAGCGCGGCCTTGCTTCCCGGCACCGCCAGAGCTCCGGGCCTTCCTGTGCCTTTCCCGCCCCGTTCTACCATCAGCGTTGCTCCGAGGTGTCCTGGTTACTTTTATCGAGAGTGGTTTTAGAAATCAAGATTTGGAGTAAGGAGTGTCCTTGTTTCTAGATCTTCTCAGCTGACAGAGCAAGGAAATATATATCAACCGATAAATACACGCATATCTCTAAATATGTTTATATGTGGAAGCCCCCCTTATCTATATTAAACTAAACATGACTTCATACTGAGCCATACAACCAACTCTAATCCAATTCACATGAATTATTTTAGCCTCTTCCCTTTGCTATCTGTAAACTTAGCTTATCTGTAAACCTAGCTCCCATTATCTAACATCCATTTACTTAATTGTTCGATTTGAGTGTATGTGTGTGGAAGTATCAGAATTCTCGACTCTACCCCTGTGGGTTACAGTGTCATCGCCTTGAATCCAATGCTTAGTACAGTTCCTTTGTCATTAGTCTTGCGGACTCCTCCCGTTCCCTGTGGTAATCTCGGACCCCACACTTCCTTAGGTAAACACCTGTGCCCTCCACCCTCTTCAGTGAGGTCATTTCATACACATATAATGCAGATAGATTATGTTGTCGCAGTCTGCATTCCATCCTGGATCCCCCAAACTCTGTTTTAATTGTCCCCCATTCACCCTGTTGGTGAGGAAGGAATTTCCTCCCAAGGCTTATGGGGAGGGCCGCACACCCCACCTCGCACAGGACAGACGATGTCAGTAGCAGTGTATTGGTCACACGTACTCACAGCCCAGGGGAAGAAGACACCACGCAGCGCTCAGGACCACATGCAGGCTGCACTGAGAACAGAATGAACAGCGGCTGAGCAAGGCAGCCGTACAGCATCAGGAGGCTGGGCTGCCCCTGGTTCCATGATTAGCTGTTTGAATAATCTCACAGGCTGGCAGGGAACGGAAACCCATTACTTAGGGATTAGTGCTAACTGCACCTGGTCCCTTGGTAAGGAGGGTTGTTTAGCTATAGCTAGAGGAATTAATCTATGGGAAGAGTTGGGAGGGGAATTTACAGTTAGGACATCCTACGCCCTACCAATTTTACCAGTGTCAAGGCAACACATAATAAGAAGCTTTAATGGTAGACCTTACACCACAACCTCCCGAATGATTTATTAAAATCTGCATACGTTGCCCAACAGCTGTGGCTCAGTGGTTGAGTGTCAATCCATGCACCAAGAGGTCAATGATTCAACTCCCGGTCACATGCCCAGGTTGTGGGCCAAATCCCCAGTGGGGGCCATGTAGGAGGCAGCCAGTCAATGTTCTCTCTCATGGATGTTTCTATCTGTCCCTCTCCCTACCTTTCTCTAATAAAGTAGAAGAAAAATTAAATCTGCATGTGTTAAGGTTTGCTCTGTGCTGTAAAGTTCCATGGGGATTTGTTTTGTTTTTTTATCCTCACCCGAGGACATTTTCGCAATTATCTTCAGACAGAGCAGGAGGGAGAGAGGGAGGAAGAGAGAAACATCGACATGAGAGAGACACATCTACTGGTTGCCACCCACATGACCCCAACCAGGGCTGGGGACAAACTGCAACTGAGGTACGTGCCCTTAGCGGGAACCGACCCTGGGACTCTCCAGTTCACTGGCCAATGCTCTAACGCCGAGCAAAACCTTCCAGGGCAGTTCCATGGGTTCTGACAGTTGTACAATATCATATGTCCACTATTACATGATCATGCAGAACAGTTTCACCACCCTAAAAAATACGTGCTTCACATAGTCAACTGTTCTCCTCTTCTTCTGTCTCTAATTTTGCCTTTTTCAGCCCTGGCCGGTTTGGCTCAGCGGTTAGAGCATCGGCCTGCGGTCCAGAGAGACCCGGATTCAGTTCCCGCTAAGGGCACGTACCTTGGTTGCAGTTTGTCCCCGGCCCTGGTTGGGTCATGTGGGTGACAACCATTCGATGTGTCCCTTTCACGTGGATGTTTCTCTCTCTCTCTCTCTCTCTCCCCCCGCCCTCTCTGCCTCTCTCTCCCACTCTATCTGAACAAAAAACGAAAAAAACAATTTATTTTAAATAATTTTTCCTTTTTCAGAATGTCATGTAGTTGGAATGATGTAGTGTGTAGTTTCTTTCCATTAGCAATATCCATTTAAAGTTTATCTGTATCTTTTCTGTGACCTTTCAATGCTTTCAAAACAAGGAAAAATATAAAATAGTTTAAAATTTAAGGAAGATTGGTCTTCATTTTAAAATATTTTCTCCAAATATTTAAAATATTTTATATTTCCTAAAAGAATCTTATGACGGCACAGCTTTGTTAAAACCTATGTTAAACATGTCAAGAAGACATACGCTGAAGAACTGAGCAGGTACTTAACTTAGTGGTTTCTTCAGTAATTAATAAATGATATAAGACAAAAAGAGTTAAAGATCTGATTTTTCTTCTCAGTAAGGAATATTATTTTTTACATATGTAGTCAGTACATGAAAGTATTAATTTGTAATATTCTTTTTTTTTTTTAAGATTTTTATATTGATTTTTAGAGAGAAAGGGAGAAGGAGCGAAACATTGATCGGGTGCCTCTGCGCGCCCCCTACTGGGGATAGAGCCCGAAACCTGGGCATGTGCCCTGACTGGGAATCAAACCAGCAACCTTTTGGTGCCCTGGAAGGCACCCAACCAACTGAGCCACAGCAGGCAGGACTGTTACATTCTTTATACTATTATTTTTCTTACATAGAATAAAACAATTCAAGTACATTATGAAATGTATAGAGGTTTTAATTTCAGAAATTAACTTAGTTTTAATGGGAATTTTGTTTTCTTTCTGTTAGAAATTTGTTATAATTCTAGTATATTTTATTTTTACTAAAATGGTTATACATTACTTGAAACTTTAACATGGAGAATCTTCTAGGTTCCTTATTGGATTATGTACATTATAACTGACCTTTACTACAAGACTTTTCGTTTTGCCTGAAATTAATACTTTGTTGTGTCTTTTTACTTGCTTAGGTTTCTAGGTACTTATCACAAATTCAAACCAACTTTCACCAATTGTCTAAAATCTCTCAAGACATTGGAACGTGGGAGGTGCGTTATCAGTTTGATCTTCCTGAACTCTCCTACAGTTACTGTACCTGCTTTAGTTGTTTGCCTTTTACGACTGAGTTATCATTCCAGAACCCCCTTCTCCACCAGGAAGGTTCAGGGTGCGGAATCTTGGGAACCTGGAGATACCCTTTAGCTTTCTGGTTGGGTTTTTTCTGTAAAGCATGGTTTTCCTTTTTTGTTTGTGTTTGTTTTTTCTGCCTGGTTTTGGTAGAACCTTTCCCACCAGTGGTTTTTCGTCATTGTTGTTGTTAATCCTCACCCAAGGATATTTTTCCATTGATTTTTTTAGATAAAGGGGAACAGTGGAAGGGAGGGAGGCAGGGTGGGAGAGAGAGAGAGAGAGAGAGAGAGAGAGAGAGAGAGAAGAGAGAGAGAGAGAAAGACATCAATGTGAGAGACACATTGATTGGTTGCCTCCAGAATGACCCCGACCGGTCCAGGGATCAAACCTGCAACCCAGGTACATGCCCTTGACTGGGAATTGAACCCGAGACCCTTTGGTTTGTGGGCCAATGCTCTAACCACTGAGCCAAACTGGCCGGGGCCCCACCAGTAGCCCCACCTAGAGAAAGGCTCAAGGAAGTCATTTTTCTGAGAGCTTATGTGTTAGAAAATATCTTTATTCTACCCTTCTACTTTATAGTTTGGCTGGATATAGGGTTTTAAGCTGTAAAGAATTTCTTTAAGTTATTTATTTATTTTTTTATCATCCTCTCCCGAGGACATTTTTCCATTTTTTGTTCCGGTAGAGTGGGAGGGAGAGAGAGGAACAGAGAGAGAGAGAAAAATATCAATGTGAAAGGGACACATCGAGTGGTCTCCACCCGCACAACCAACCAGGGCCGGGGACAAACTGTAAACCGAGGTACGTGCCCTTAGCGGGAACCGAACCCGGTCTCTCTGGACCGCAGCCGACGCTCTAACCGCTGAGCCAAACGGGTCAGGGCTCTTTAAGTATTTTTAAGGCATTGCTCCTTTGTCTTCGAATGTCCCTCATTTTCTTGGATACATTTATTGAAGTCAATAAAATTGACCTTGTTTAAAAAAGATTATTAAACTTATTGGGGTGATATTGGTTAATAAGATTGTTTCAAGAGTACAGTTCTACAATACATCATCTGTACATTGCCTTGTGCATTCACCACCCCAAATCAAATCTTCTTTTGCCACCATATATTTGACCCCCTTCACCCTTTTCTACCGCCCTCCATGCCCCTTTCCCCTTTGATAGCCATACCCTTGTCTGTGCCTATTTTTTTTTATCCTCACCTGCGGACATTGTTTTGCATCTGTCTTTAGATATAGCGGGAGGGAGAGAGGGAGGAAGAGCGAGAGAGAGACATTGATGAGAGAGGCACATCGAGTGGTTGCCATCCACATGACCCAACCGGGGCCGGAGACAAGCTGCAACCGAGGTACGTGCCCTTAGTGGGAACCGAACCCGGGTCTCTCCGGTCCGCGGGCCGACGCTCTAACCGCTGAGCCGAACCAGCCAGGGCTCTCTGTGCCTATTAATTTTTGGTTTATTTTGTCTGTTCGCTGCTTTCAGTTTTATATCCCACATATGAGTGAAATCATACAGCTCTTGTTTTTTTCTGTCCAACTTATTTTGCTTAGCATAATATTATCGCTTAGCATAAGATTCATCCATATTGTCGCAAGTGGCAGGACTTCATTTCCTCTTATGGCTGAATAGTGTTTCATTTATATATATACCATATCTTCTTTAGCCAGTCATCCATCAAAGGACATTTAGGTTGTTTCCATGTCTTGGCCAAAGGCATCCCACCTCCCAACTTTAAATTACACTACAGTAATCAACACAGCATGGCATTGGCAGAAAAACAGGCACACAGACCAACTTTGAAGCAGAGAGAGGGCCAATGATTTAAGCAAGCATGCCTTTGTAATGAAGCCTTATAAAAGCCCAACATGACGGAGTTCAGAGAACGTCTGGGTTGGCGAACACGTGGAGGTGGGGAGAGAGGTGTGCCTGGAGCAGGCATAGAAGCTCCACACCCTTTGCCCGTACCTCGCCCTGTGCATCTCTCTCCTCTGTTTCTCCTTATATCCTTTCATAGTAACTCCTGTCCAGTAAGTATAATGTTTCTCCAAGTTGTTTGAGCCACTCCAACAAATTAATAAAGTTCAGTAAGTATGTTTCTCCAAGTTCTAGAGCCACACCAACAAATTAATAAAAAGCGCCCCCCCCCCCCAGGAGGGGGGTTGTGAGAACTTCTGTTTGTAACCGGTGGGTCAGAAGCACCTGGGTCTGCAGCTGGCTTCAGCAGTGGGGTGGGGATGAGGGTGGTCTTGAATCCTTAACTTGTGGGGTTTGATGCTGTCTGCAGGTAGTGTCAGAATTGAGTTGAATTATAGGACGCCCTGCTGGTGTCTGAGAATTGCTTGGTGGTGTGTGTGGGGACCCCCCCCCTCACACACACGGGAAATTGGGTCACAGAACACCACTTCCAGGATCATTTGTTGAAAAGACTGTTCTTTCTCCATGGAATTATCTTGGCACCTTTGTTAAAAATCAGTTTACCATATATGTTTGGGTCTATTTCAGGACTTTATTATGTTCCGCTGATTGACTATTCTTATACCAATACTAAACTATCTTGACTATTGTAGCTTTATACTACAGCATGTTTTTTTGTTTGTTTCACTTTTTTTAAACAGCTGTATTACTATTCCATTGTAAGGATGTCCTATTATATAACTCAACCTCTACCTAGGGGATTTAGTTGTTTCTATTTAATTTTACAACTAATGTAACAGCAAATGCCCACGGGCATGCACTTTGGGGCCCAATGATAGTGCTCGTGTAGGGTACGTGTTTAGAATTGGGAATGCTGGGTCAATGCTTCCCCACATTTTCCCCGAGTAATTGGGTCTACTTTCAGATCCAGACTGTTATCAGTGATACTCATTATCCAGGAATGATAGCTATATCGTCATAATAATCACTGACATTTATCAAACTCTTAACCTTGTGCCAGGCACCGTGCTGAAAGTTTAATATGTACCATCTTAATTTGTTCTCACAGCAACATTTCATAATCAACGATGTTATGAGGTAGGTACAACCATTTTACAGGTGAAAAATGGGCTTCAATTAATTAACTGACCTAAAAGCTAGTAACTTGTGTGTTTTGATTTTAATCTATATGCTTATATAATGAATACACCATTTCTGATGAAGACGACTCTACCAAATGATGACTCAACTCCAAAACATTAAACTTGTTACTGTGGAGGTGTGTGCTACCCAGTGGGGTAGCGACCAGCAGCCACATGTAGCTATTGAACATTTGAAATGTGACTAGTCCAAATTGTGCCGAGAGTGTAGAATACACACTGAATGTAGACTTGGTATGAAAAACACTACGTAAAATATCTCAATAATTTTTATACTGATTACATGGTAAATGATATGTTGGACATGTTTAAATAAAATACATTAAAATTAGCTTCCCTTTTTTTACACATTTACGTGTGGCTACTAGAATATTTAAAACTACGTACGTGGTTTGTATTTGTGGCTCAGATTATACTTCTGTTAGACTGTTTGTTTGGCACACTTCACAGGCACCTACATTGGCCAAGCCGGCAGATTTTACTCAGGCTGAATCTAAGAGCTCTAAGCCGCCCTGGCCGGTGTGGCTCAGTTGGTTGAGCATCATCTTGTGCACCAAAAGGTCGCTGGTTCGATGCCCAGTCAGGGCACATACGCAGGTTGTGGGTTCAATCCCCAATTGTGTGGGAGGCAGCTGATGGATGTCTCTCTCTCTCAAAAAAAAATCACAATTAAAAAAAAAAAAAGCTCTAATTTGTAATAAAAACAAACAAAAAAACCCTCTAAGCTGTACTACTACAATTTGTTGTGAGTTTTAGAAAGAGGCCTATGGTTTCTTTTTTATATATATAATTTTTTTTCCCTTTATTGATTTTAAAGAGAGGAAGTGAGAGAGAGCGAGAGAAACATCGATGAGAGAGAACATCGATTGGCCATCTTCTGCGTGCTCCCCACTGGGGATCTGACCCCCACTTGGGCATGTGTCCTGGCTGGGAATTGAACTGACGACCTCTTGGTGCAGGGGTCAGTGCTCAACCACTGAGCCACACCGCCCCAGACGAGGCTCCTACAGAACCTGGGCTTTCCCACCCAGGCCCCTGCAGGGTGGGTGCTTCTCCAGCCCTAGGTGCCTGCCATGAGCACTGGCCAGAGGATGGGGTGATCAGCTTCCAGAGCCCCTCCAGGCAGCTTCCAGCAGCGTGCTGCACAGGGCCTCCCCGAGTAGCTTCGCGTCATTCCTCTGGTCTTTCCAGCAAACCCGGGGTGGGAGGCCCAATCTCCACTCCAGGGGAAGTGGCTGTTCCTTCTCTGCTCTCTTCCCACATTCGGTTAGTTTTTACTGTTGTCCCTTACATTATTTTCCTCTGAATTCAAGTTACTTGGTGAGCTGTCTGCTCATCGAACCCTGAGTTATATACCAACTATTTTTATTACATGTATTTTCATAACCTCCATGTTATTTCTGGTACTTATACAACAAATTGTTTTAGTCAAATAACTGAAGCTTGCTAACTTTAGATACTAAATGCCCGTCTCTTCTTGCATCTACAGATTTTAGCATTGGTCTCAACCCGAGACAATGAATGTGATCCTATCTTTAAATCTATTAGTCCATCTATTCAAATTCTAATTGTCTCTGATAAATATAAAATTTATCAAAATTTAAAACTGCTAAAAAACCTGTAACTGTTGAGGCTTTTATTCCACAATATATTCACTCATATAGGATTTTTATTTTTCAAAGAGGGGATCAGGAAAGAGCAGACTTGCTCTCAAGATGACTAAATTAGCTGTATTACCTTTTGAAAATTTAACCCAGCTCTGGCTAGTTTGGCTCAGTGGTTAAGAGCACTGGCTTGTGGACCAGAGTCGTGGGTTCGATTCTGGTCAAGGGCATATACCTCGGTTGTGGTTCAGTCCCCAGCCCTGGTTGGGGTTGTGCGGGAGGCAACCAATTGATGTTTCTCACGTTGATTTTTCTCTCTCCCTTCCTCACGCTCTGAAAATAAATGGAAAAATATCCTCAGGTGAGGATTTTAAAAAAGTTAACCCAATGCTAAAATTCTATGTGAGTGGTATTTCGATCTCTATCGGTATGATTAGCACTGTGATTCCTTATCGAGTCCAGATGGTAAAGATTCTAGTTAATGAAGACAAATTTACTACACAACTAATCTTATATTGTACAGTAATTTCCTAATTAAAATAATGCATTCTAACAACACTCACTGTTATGCCTTTAACTGTGCCTTAGTTTTCTCCTCTCCATTGTAGTTTGATTTCACCATCCTGAGTCTCTTGCCAACTCTACAAGCACTGTGCCATGCTGTGCCACCCCAGAGGGCTTGTTCCCAGAACATTCTCTCCAGAGCCACCCCAATCAGACAGTACTTTTCTGAGGCTTCCTGCCTCCCCTCCCTGGGGAAGCTGCTCTCCCGAGGGCTGCTGTTCTGGGGCACAGGGACCACGAGGTTTTTGCTGACTTTGGCTTCCCCACTCGAAGGTGGACGAACCGTACACAGCCAACCTTTTCTTCCTCCCGTTCACCCAAGATGGCTGTTTCTGAAATAGTTCGTCACCTAGTGTACCCCTGGTTTCCTCCAGTCACCTCTATCACCTGCTAGATTTTCTCCAATACCTTGTTTTATCAGTACTTCTTTTAAAAAGATCTTTCTCTTGAAGGACTCATTATCTCCATATAACACTCAGGAATCCAAATCATTTTAGGCATTTTCAAGGGCAAACACATCTTACATTTGCTATTTGCAGCTACACAGGTCCACCACCACCACCAGAATGGGCTTTTCTTGCTTCAGAGGACTACTGACTTAGATCCCCCAGCCTGTCCAGGAACCTCGTGACAGCTGTTAGGGCCTCGGCCAGATCCAGGACGGAGACATCCAAGGGACAGGCAGGTCAAGACCTTTCTCTGAAGAGAGTTTTAAGTATTTAATCCTACATTCATTAAAAAAAAAATTACTGATTCTGAGAGAGGAGAAAAATCGATGAGAAACATCCGTTGGCTGCCCCCTGCACACCCCCTACAGGGGCTCTGTACCCATGAACATAAGCTGAGACCTGAAGCATCCGTGAGTTAGGAACTGAGAAAGCAGGACGAGCAGGTAGGAACTGGCATGTTGGAAAAGCAGTCTCGAGTAGTGAAGACAGCCGGTGAGGCAGTGACCACAAAAACCTGAAGGCCAGGTTAAGAATGTTATCCTAATGGGGTAGTCCCAGAGACGTGGAAGTGGGGTACAAACTGACAATCCCCTGAAGAGTGGGGGGGGGATAAACCACAGAACTTATATGCATGAACAATGGACATGGACAACAAAGCTGGGGACAGGGCGAGGGCGAGGGCGGGGGAATCAGTGGGGGGAAAAGGAGAAACATCTGTAACAAATACAAATAAAACAACAAAAAAATAATTAAAAAAAAATGTTATCCTAAACACAAGAAGCAGTTAGACAGCAGCTTGGCCACTTTACAATTTTATGGTGGCTGCTCCACACTTGTGTTATTGACTCTTCTGTCCTCTCAGCAGCCCAGCCAACTTGGCCTCGTTTCACTTCAACTCTTTGGCAATTAAGTTACCCGACCCGGGAAAGCATGGCAAATCCCGGAGCACTTTAACACAGAAAAACCCTCCGTCACCCAGTTGAGGGTTAACAAGTTTACCAGGACCAATTTATCATCGCCTGGAGTCTACAGCGAGCTTCTCCTTGGCTTTCCTTCGCTTCCTATGCAACCCACTGCATTTGCATGTGGCCCCACAGACGCTCACATACCTAGCAGGTTGCTTTAATTTTTCACTTAAACCTCATACACAGCCTACATGGTAGGTGCCAAGCAAGCATTTTGGATACTGGGATAAGTTAAGATAAAATTCATCTGACCCCTATCCTTCACGTTCTCACTGGTACCCCAAGCCCTATTGTATAGGATTAACAACCACTCCCCAAAGTCATTACACTATTGCAGATGAAATGCTACTAAAAGGAATTAATTTTTCTTTGATTTATTCCTAACATGTTAAATATCCATATAATCCACACAAAATGTGCTACTTTGCCTCTTACTAATGCCACGACCCTTTAATACAGTTCCTCATGTTGTGGTGACCCCCAACCATAATTATTTTCGTTGCTACTTCATAACCGTAATTTTGCTACTGTTATGTCTTAGGTGACCCGCAACCCCTGCGAAAGGGTCACAACCCACAGGTTGGGAACCGCTGCTTTCCGTTATCTTCCAGTGTTGCCCGTGTGAAGGAATCCTGGTATTCCACTTGTTTCTCATCCTCTTAAGTAGCATCACAACCAAGTTCAAGTTTGTGCTCCAAAACCATCACTTACCAGGTAAACCTGATAGTAAGCTGTCCCATCCCCAAATATAGTTCACTGACACCTCAAGCCTATTAAAAATACCTTAGCACACCAGATATTTTCTAAACCACAACATTTATTGTGCAACTAATCACTGAAATCCTTAAGATGAACTGGATGCTGCAACAGCCGCCCTCTTGGGTTTAGGTGTTGTTCCCTCACGGAATCCATGCCTGCACCAAGTTAAAAACAAGAACTGTTACATCAGCAAAACCATATGTACATTTTATTTTTTGCTAAAACAGATTTTAATGAGCTTATCTCAGTTAAACAATGAAATCAATATTGAATTCATATGTTCAGACATTTATTTTTACAACATCACTGATAAGCTGCAACTGTTCATTCACTTCCTTCTGCTTCAAGGTATCCCATTTTAGGGACATAGTTAACTGCATTTGAAAAGTAAACCCAACAATGTATTTGGTTGTACTGATTATTGGACTAGTGTTTCCCCACTGCCTGGTAAGAGATCCATGGTACTTGTGAAAACAGGTCCATCCTTGTGCTACAAGGCAGATACATTAACTACTTTCCCTTAAAGAAAAGACAACAAGCATGTTAAATGGCAGGTATTTTCTAAACTGCTTGGCAATGCTTTACATTCCAACTCATTTCATACTGACACCACTCTAAGGAAAGTGTACTGTTGTTACCCACCCTTTAAAAGGTTGGTGAATTAAGGCACAGAAAGGCTCCAAGTCTGGCTTCAGTTCATGCTCTTAACCCCTACACCAGCAGACCACTCAACACACCACTATATAACGGTCTGAAGCGCAAAACAAAAGTCACTTCAGCACATGAACAGACTTATTTAAGGGTGCTATGTCTGCAAAGCCCCTAACTGCCTCCTGATCTTTCAAAACTAGAAAATCTGGAACTGAGGCGGAGGCCAAGGTTTCGGCTAAATATACTACATTACAAAGGATAGCTGCTCACAACAGTCACCTCAGTTAAGACCTTAGATGGGTTAATGCTTAAAAACCTACCTTTGAAAACACAGTTTGTAAGTCTAGGTTGGGGTTGAAATATCTGCTTTTCTAACAAACTCTAAAGCCTGGCTTTAACAAGACGGGAAGATTTCCCTCGTGTGTACGTACACAAATGCAATAGCAACGGACAGTTTTCCACAGCGGACTTGCCCGAAGCCCGATTCCAGACCTCATTCACACACCATTGTCTTGACACAGTAAGGTGAGAAAGTGAGGTGCAGGTATTACTAATCAACATTATCACATCTTGGGGATCTAGGTCAAACCATAGTCTAGACATTTATAACTCTATTGTTTACTGAAAGATTAATAAAATCAAGAGCTAATGGATCTGAAGGTTATGGTGGCAGAAAACACCTTCCAACACCCCATCCCCACTAATCAGGATTCTATTCTTAAATTACACCAGTAAATGAATGAGATGATTCACAGAACCAGTAATGAAAACACAGCAGCTGTACCTGAACCTGCGGTATACGATTTTTAGGTGCCTCATGCGACCAGTTCCAGTGGTGTTTCTTCGTTTAGCTTTGGCGCTCCAGTTATCTAAAACACAAAATTCGGGTTAAGTTTCTATATAATTGTCCCGGACACCTTGTAGGCATCGCTGGTCAATACAGTAAGTGCCTCCCTTGGGTAACTTGACATCAGCTTCATCGGCACAACACACGCACCACCTCACGGGAAGCACCAAGTAACGTGCAGAGCCAGCCTCACCCCGGAGCGCCGCAAACAAGGCTCTTAAGCTCCAGCTGCATCCCAACCCTAACGCGGCCGGCCCGCGCGCCGGTGAACTCACACTTCCTCTTCCGCTTGGCGGGGTAGCCGCACTTGCCGCAGGTGGACTTCTGAAGGTGGTAGGCCTTCGAGCCACAGCGGCGGCACAGCGTGTGCGTCTTGTTGCGGCGCTTGCCGAACGACGACGTCCCCTTCGTCTGTGAATTAGAGGGCGAACAGTGCCGACACCCAGCGATTACTGGTCAGTTCGGGTAAAGACACTGGGTAACAGGTAAGACAGTCACAAGGGCTGAAGCTGTGGCAGAAGTCTCTAACTTTTCTCAAAGGCCCAATCAGAAACCACCGCGGGCGGCTGATGTTTATCTAAAGCTTTCTTAACAGCTGCTGTGTTTTGAAATCGGCTACAATGAAAGCGGTGGGGGTGGGGAGGCGAAAGACGAAATGATGTGGTTTTCCTACCTAGCTCCATCCCCAAATCAAAGGGCGCCTGCCAGGCACTGCCACCAACTAATTCCTCGGCGTACAGAGCCAAAGGCTGCCAACCCAAGCTGCTTCTTCCTTTAGTTCTCATCCGAGGGCAGAGCGCTGCGGGGCCCCAAAGCTCAGGTCGCAAGGCGCCTAAAGCGGCTCCAGTTCCAGGGCTGCAGGCTGGGCACCCCAGGCACAGTTAGGGGCCATTCTTCTGGTTCTTGAGGGCCACAGCATGTCCCTTTACTGCCCACCCGCTCCCCACATCGGGAACCTTGCCGGCATCCCCACGGAGAGCGACGAGCGCAGCGCAGAGAACGAGGATGGAAGGCGATTCGAACAACCCTTGCAAAAAACTCACCATCTCGCTTCTGCCGCCGAGACCAAAGAGGCCGGAAAAGAAAACACTTCCGCTATATCGCTCTGAGAAGCTTCCGCTCAGGGGAGTTCTTCCGGCGGGGCGCGGTGCATCGTGCTCAAGTGTCCGCCGCCGCGGTGTGGCTGGGTCGAGAGGAGGATCCGGAGCCAGGCCGGGCCAATAGGCGTTTCCGCTCCCGGCAGGTGGGTGGGGCCAGAACTCGGCTCTCGGCGGCTGCCCCTCCTCCTCCTGCTCGTGGAGCTGGAGCTGCTTCTGGGCCTGCGCGCGCCCGCAGCCGGACTTGGGACCGCATCGCCGGCTCGTCCCGGGCTGACGGGGAACCGGGCGTGCGAAGCTGGCCTCCCGGGTCCCCGCGCGGCTCAGCGCTCAGCCGTGGGTGGGGGGCCGCGGTGGGACTTGATCTCGGTGCGGAGAAACCGGGTTCTCGGGCTTCGGCACTCTCGCCGGAAGCTTAGCCGACGCCGCTTCTCGCACGGAGGCCCCTGCGCGTGGATCTGAAAACCCAGGCAGATCATGTTCTTTGTAACTGTAGTAATTTGTTTGTTTTTTAAGTGTTGTATCCTCACCCAAGGATATGCTTGTTGACTTGAAGGGGAAGGGAGAGGGCAGCGTGGATGTGCGAGAACATCAGTTCGGGCCGTTTGCCCTCCCGGCGCGGCCCGACCCAGGCAGGTGCCCCGACGGACTGGAACCCGCGGCTTTCGGGCTGGGGGACCGCCCCCAGGCCGCGTGTGACCCCGATTCCCTGTGCCGGGACCACACGGACCTTCAGTGGACTTTTCTGCGCCCGGCGAGGAAACTGATACAGCACCTTTGGGTCGGACCTGGGAGCCTGTACTTAAGAAACCCTTTTTAAGTCGTTTCTAAATGATGGTTCCCAGCCCGCGATCAGCGTGAATCCAGGTGCAACTCTGACCCTCGCAAACCGGTGAACTATCCAAACATTGAAAAATAGGAAAAGGATCCCAAATAAGCATGCAATGTGCTTGCTTTTATTTTTTGAAAGTATTTTTTCTTAATGATCTTAGGGCGGGAGGGAGAGAGAAACATCGATGAGAGAGAACAGCAGTTGGCCGCCTCCTGCACGCCCGCCACTGGGGATCAGCCCGCAACCTGGGCACGTGTCCTGACCAGGGAACCCGCGACCTCTTGGTGCAGGGTCGGTGCTCAGCCACCGAGCCAGCCTGCCGGGCGTGGACTGTGCTCTCTAACACAAACAAGAGCTCTATCTGTTGTATGTTGACCGCTATTAGAACAAGATACACTCTAGGAATCAGGCTTAATATCCTCACGGGATACTTTTTTCCCCCATTTATCTTCAGATAGAGTGGGAAAGAGAGAGAGAAACATCAGTGTTAGAGAGACACATCGATTGGCTGCCTCCTGCATGACCCCAACCAGGGCCTGGGACGAAACCACTACCAGGTATGTGCCCTTGACTGGAATTGAACCCATGACTCTTTGGTCCATGAGCCCACGCTCTGACCCTTGAGCCAAACCGGCCAGGGTGAGTTTCAGGTTCTTATGAACTGTGTCACTGTGAGTAAAGACCAACCTAAAAAGTCAAAGTTTCTCCCCAAGGAAACCAACAAAAAAGAAGTAATATATTAAATAGTAATGTTTAAAGTAGGAAGTTCGACTCCATCAGTAACACATTCTCAGAGGTACCAGTGTTACATGGGTGTGTCTCTTTCATAACTGTCTTTTTAAAAATATATTGCGTATCTATATACACACGTTATATATGTACATTATCACATTTTTTATTTATTTTTTACTTGTTTATGTTTATTGATTTTTTTTTAGAGAGAGAGGAAAGAAGAAAGAGATAGAAACATTGATGTGTGAGAGAAACATCGATCAGCTGCCTTCAGCACTTCCCCTACTAGAGATTGAGCCTGAAACCCAGGCAAATGCCTGGATGGGGAATTGAACCAGGATCTCTCAGTCCGTGGGATGATGCTCAATCCACTGAGCTGCACCAGCCAGACCACATTAATTTCTAAACAAAAATGAGATCTGTAACTTGCTGTTTTCTATAACAATACATCATAGGTATTACGACTTGTCATTGTGTACAGATTTACTTTATCCTTTTTAACCACTTTTTGGTGTTTCATTGTTGATGTATCAACATTTATTCCACAAATCTCCAATCTATGGAAATTGTGGTTACTTTCAATTTTCTGTTATTATAAATAAACAGTTTTGTAATGCAGATTCGTGTGCATAAATCTTTGGCATTTGTCTGATTATTTCCATATTAGTTTCCTAGAAGTGAAATTGTTGAAGGGTATGATTTTTTTTGTTTTTTCTGTCAACATTTATTTATCGCTGCATACTGCCAGATTTTCCAAAAAGAGTTAATCAATTCACTTTTTTTTTTATTCCTCACCTGAGGATATTTTTTCTACTAATTATCAGATAGAGTGGGTGGGAGGGAGGGAGGGAGGGAGAGAGAGAGAGAGAGAGAGAGAGAGAGAGAAACATTGATGTGTTAGAGCCACATCGACTGGTTGCCTCCCACATGACCCAGGCGGGGCTGAGGACTAACTGCAACCGAGGCACGTGCCCTTGACCAGAACCAGACCCTTGACTCATTGGTCCACGGGCTGATGCTCTAACCGCTGAGCCAAACTGGTGAGGACAGTTCACATTTTTATTAGCACAGATAGAGCTCAGAGGAGGGAATACCTAGTTCAGTCTGAAATTCAAGAGAGACTTCTCAGAGAACTTGACCCTGGGGCCTAGTCATGATGAGACTGAGTCAAATAATCGAAAGAGCACATAGATAATCCACCAGGACCGAGGGTCTGGGAGGGCTCAGGGCTGGGTCTCCCACTGCTATGGCCTGTCTGTATCGACCCCCTCCAACACTAGGCACTAGTGTTGCTTCCAACACTAGGCAGCTTTGACATTTAATCTGCCAAATAGAATTACTCTACCTTTTTAAAAAACCTTTTTTCTTTCTGAATTGAGATTTTATTGCTTATTCTGAGGATGAGTACACAGACATTTCAATCTGAACACAATTTTTTTTTTATCCTCACCCAAGGACATTTTTGCATTTATCTTCAGATAGAGCAGGAGGGAGAGAGGGAGGAAGAGAGAGAAAGAAATATCACCTGTCTGCCACCCAAACAACCCCAACTGGGGCCGGGGACAAACTGCAACCGAGGTACGTGCCCTTAGTACGAACCCGGGACTCTCTGGTCCGTGGACCTGATGCTCTACCTGCTGAGCCAAACTGGCCAGGGCTGAACATAATTCTTAACGTATTTACCCAAAACCTAAAATATAGTTGTGATTCTTTTCTAAAAAGTTATTTCATTGACTTTATCGAGCTTAAAATTTGGAGGCAAATTTTCCTTAAAATATCAAGTACCAATATCTTCAAGTGTTGGCACTGTTACATCACAATTTAATATCATATACACAACATAATTAATTTTCAGTCTCTCACAGCACATTAACGAAGTTACTAGGGGAACTGGCTACCACACCAAAGATGTTATGGAGTGTGCGAAATTCTGACGGGGAGAGCCAAGATCAAGGAGTGGTTTTCTTTAGGAAACAACTGGAAAACATGGGAACAGAAGTAATTTAGAATATTCACAACATGTTAAATGCATGACTGACTCCAAATTGCTGCTTAATGTGCATTGTATGATAGGACACAACACTGCCCCATCTATGGGATGTTGAGCTGACACCCAAAGACAACACCTCCCATTTTCAATATCCCACTATTTTCTGGTTGTACCAAAAAATAAACAACCAGCAAATGACTTCACCTCTTTAAAAAAAAAAAAATTTACACTTAAAAAAAAGGAGGATGAGGTGGAATTCCTTCCTTCCTAAAAATATTTCTTAAGCCACTAAAAAACTTACATCTACAAAACAGTTGATAAAAATATGCCTCCGGATTATACGAGAAGGGAGGCAGACCACTGATGAGACATGGTATGTGATACTAATCAGACTTGCCTTCTTTCTCTCCTGCTTGTCTGAGCCTGGACTCTCCTGTTTTAGTTTCTCGGTTTTCTGCAGGTTGATTGCGAGTGCCCTGCTCAATCACTTTGCCTGTTTCCCTTTTGCTTTCCTTTCCCCTTTGTTTGCACTGCCTTTTTTCTTCAGAGCACCCTTTCCTGCCACCTCTCTTGGCTGAGGCGTGTAGCAGCCACAGGCTGCTGAGATCCGCCCACCCGTGCTGTTACCTGGAAGGGTTTTGTAATCCAGTTCCTGGTCTACAGAAAACAGGAACAATGGCCACTGGGAGCCGTCCCTCCGAGGTGATAGAGAGAGAACGAAAAAAGTTACTGGAAATCCTCCAGCAAGATCTCGATTCCATCTTAGATTCGTTAACCTCTCGGAGGCTGATTTCTGAGGACGAGTATGAGACTCTGGAGGGTATTCCAGATCCTCTGAAGAAAAGTCGGAAGCTGTTGATTTTGGTCCAGAAAAAGGGAGAAGACAGTTGTCAGCATTTTCTCAAATGTTTATTTAGTACTTTTCCGGAGTCAGAGACGATTTGGGGCTTAAGGCACGGTAAGTTGAATTTCTACACTTTTGGGGGTGGGGGGTGGGAGGGGGCGGGTGAAAGGGACCAGGCAGATTTCCTGAAAAAAGAAAATGATCACCTTTTATTTTTATTTGTCTTTCTCCCAGAGATACTTTTCACTGAAATGTGATAAAGAGGAAGTGGCCAGGATCTTAAAAGCAGGGAGCAATGTAGTTTATGGGTTTAGGAGACTGATAATTTTTTGTTTAAACTGTATCCAAAATTTGCAGTTGTTTTAGTACCAGTATAGACTGCTCATTGTTATGACAGGCGTCCTGAAATACTCACAGCTGGAAAGAGACTACTGTTCATGATGACACATCTGGGATGTCTTTGTCAAGTTAAGTGAATTCATGAATATAAACAATCCCTGAACCACAAGCTGAATGTTTCACAAACAGGGAAATACAGGGAAAAATCATCCCCGTATGTGGTGGACCAAGTCACTTCATTTTCTGATAAGAATACCAGTAGAGCCCTGTTTCCTGAAACAATTCTATTTTATTTATTTATTTATTTTTATCCTCACCAGAGGACATTTTTTTCCATTTTATGTTCAGGGAGGGAGAGAGAGGAACAGAGAGAGAGAGAGAAACATCGATGTGAAAGGGACACATCGAGTGGCTGCCACCCGCACAACCGACCAGGGCCGGGGACAAACTGCAACCGAGGTACGTGGGGACAAACTGCAACCGAGGTACGTGCCCTTAGCGGGAACCGAACCTGGGTCTCTCCGGACCGCAGGCCGACGCTCTAACCACTGACCCAAACTGGCCAGGGCTCCTGAAACAATTCTAATGCTGATTTTTCAATGTTCAGAGATAACTAGCGGCTAATAGGGGAGCAAGTTTTCCAGAATGGATTGTTTAGCAGCTCTGTGGGTTACCACCAGGGGCAAGTGTAGCTCCTTTTAAGGGAATCTAAGGGCTATTTGAAGATTATTTTAAGAGATGTTGTAGAGGTGGCATCTCAGGTAGAAAGTTTAATGTTAATGGCCCCTAGTGTGAGATAAGACCCGCGTGTTTAAAGAAATAGGTCTTATCATTTCTAGTATTTACTATTCCAAATGAGAGCTTATTGCTTCCTGGTGAGAAATTATTAGGATCAGAGTTCATTAGCAACGGCCCTAGGAATTCTGAGCTGGTTTGGGGTCACAATAAATCTGCAAGTTAACACTGTTCATGATTCCAATTGTGTTTAGTTTATTTAACACTTGAGTTTACTATGAAAGACTTGGAATTTTGAGCAAGACAGGAGTGTGGTCTTCTTTTCTTCCAGGGGGGAAGACAGTTCTGCCAGTCGGCTTACTGCCATGTGTACTGGGGTGGTAGGCACCCTGTCCTTCCCTGAAACCAAGGGGGAGAGAATACCTTGAGGCCTTGAAACAAGTAAATATGACACTTTTTTTTTTTATTATTAATTTGGAAAACAAAAGGAAAAACCTTGTAACTTTCTTGTTCTTTTCAGAATTTTTAAGACATGAGAATATAGAACCTCCTCCATCCACAGCGGTGAGCAAGAGTCCTGAGGGTCTGTTTTCCCCAGCAGAGAAACAGCCTGAGAATTCTGAGATCACAGTGTGCTTCGAAGAGACAGAACACGCGGATTTGGAAACCTCTGAGATGTGCATGGACAAGAAAACTAGTCATAGGGAAAAGGCTTGGTCCCCAAGGGAAGACGAGAAGGAACACGGCACCCCAGCAGTCCCGATGCCACGTTCGGTGGAGAGTGCTGACTATGACGTTTCAGAAACCACTGATTATTTACAGGACGGACAGAGATATGATGAGCCCGATGACTCTTTATACTTAGGACAAGAGGACTATCTAGAATTGGTTGTATACTCCGAAGACGAAGGAAGCCCTGCAGAGGAAGAGGAGGATGATGACCCAGAGGACCTTGTCTATGATGGCGAAGAGGACCCTGCGTATTCAGAAACCACGGAGTTCTCTGGTGAAGAACAGAGCTATGATGACTCAGAAACTGGCATGTCATTGGAGGAAAAGGAGGAGAAAAGTATGGAAGGTATGCCAACAACGTGTGATCGTTAGGCAACAACATGTTTTTAAGTTGCCGTGACAGAGTGGGGAGAGAGGATGAGGAAGGGCGCCAGGCGTCAGCCGGTAGGCAGCCTCTCAGAAATGCCTCGCCCCTCTCTAACAGGGACTTTCCTCGAGGTGGGTGTTGACAGGGAGGAAGACCCAGGACCTAGGAAGTGCTGGACAGTATGAGCAAAAGTAAATATTACTTGCAGCCTATAGGCGTCTGCCGCCACCTCCAGCACACATGTAAGAGGTTAGTTGCTAGCTACTAGTTCTAGGGGTTACCTTCTAGTCCTTAGATTGAGTCTCTTGAGTCATTTTAGTGCCTTTGTAACCAGTGGGATATGGTGATTATGGCCCTAACTATTGAACAGAAAACAGGAGAGGAGTTTGTGGTGAATGGATAAAATCCCCAAATCCTGTTACTGGGCTTGATCCAGTCTATATATTTCTACCTGGATGGAAGAAACTATGTTAGTATCTTTAATTAGATTGTCTTTTTCTTTTTAATTCCTTTTTCTTTTTTTGGTAATCCTCACCCAAGGATATTTTTCTATTGATTTTTAGATAGAGTGGAAGGGAGGGAGGGAGGGAGAGGGAGAGAAACAGAGAAACATCAATGTGAGAGAGACACAGTGATTGGTTGCCTCCCACACGACCCTGACCAGGGCTGGGGGTTGAACCTGCAACCCAGGTACATGCCCTTGACCAGGAATTGAACCGGTGACCCTTTGGTCCTTGGATCCATGCTCTAACTGCTAACCCAAACTGGCCAGGGCTATTTTTTCTTTTTTTAAATATTTATTTATTTGAATTTATTTAAATATTTATTTATTTGAATTTATTTATGTGACATTGGTTAATAAAATTATATAGGTTTCAGGGGTACAGTTCTATAACACATCATCTGTACATTGTATTGTGTGTTCACTACCCCAATTCAAGTTTCCTTCTATAACCATTTATCCTCCTTTTACCCCCCCCGCCCCCCCCGTAATTATGCTGTGGTCTGTCTAACAGGTTTTCTGTTTTGTTTTGTTTTTGTTTTTGCTTAATCCCTTTACCTTTTTCACCCTACCCTATCCCCTCTGAAAGCTGTCAATCTGTTCTCTGTGTCTATGAGTCTGTTTCTATTTTGTTTATTAGATTTCACATATAAATGAAATCATATGGTGCTTTTCTTTCTCTGAATGGCTTATTTCACTTAGCATAATACTCTCCAGGTCTAGCCATGCCGTCATAAAAAGTAAGATGTCCTTATGTCATGTGGCTGAGTAGTATTCCATTGAGTAAATGTACCATGGCTTTTTGAAAATTCAAAATATGACAAATGCTCTATTTGGGGACATATTGTCAAGGAAACTAAACATCACCAAGTTCTGAGAAGAGAAGGGAAAGATGACTGCAATCTTGCGTTCAGTCCAAATCATGGGGAATTCATAATCCAGTCTGGGGGACAAAAGTGATTTCCTCCTCCACGCCTATTGGTTTGCTCGGCCTGCCCTAAGGAAGCGCCACAGCTTGGTCAGCTCCAACAATAGACAGCAGAGGTGCGTCGTCTCAGCAGTTTGGGGGCTGCAAGTCTGAAATGAAGGTGTCTACAGGATTGGTTCCCTCTTTAAAAAAAAAAAATTATTTATTATTTTTATTAATTTATTTTTGTTAGAGATGTTTCTCCTTTTCCCCCATTGACACCCTCCTCCCCATCCCCCCCACCCTGTCCCCAGCTTTGTTGTCCATGTCCATTGGTTATGCATACATGCATATAAGTTCTGTGGTTTATCTCTTCCCTCCCCTCACCACCCCCTCTTCTGAGGGTTGTCAGTCTGTCCCCTACTTCCACGTCTCTGGGACTACTCTGTTCTTCAGACTGTTATGCTCATTATATTCCACAAATAAGTGAGATCATGTGATATTTGTCTTTCTCTGCTTGGCTTATTTCACTTAGGATAATACTCTCCAGGTCCCTCCATGTTGTCTCAAAGGATAAGAGATCTTTCTTTCTTAGAGCTGCATAGTACTCCATTGTGTATATGTACCACTGCTTTTTTATCCATTCGTCTACTGATGGACACTTGGGCTGTTTCCAGATCTTAGCTATTGTAAATAGTGCTGCTATGAACATGGGGGTACATTTTTCTTCCTGATTGGTGTTTCAGGCTTCTTAGGGTATATTCCTAGAAGCGGGATCACTGGGTCAAATGGCAATTCAATTTTTTAATTTTTTGAGGTAACACCATAGTGTTTCCATAGTGGCTGTGCCCATCTGCATTCCCACCAACAGTGTGCTAGAGTCCCCTTTTCTCCACACCCTCACCAGCACTTGTTTGACGATTTGTTGATGGTGACCATTCTGACAGGTGTGAAGTGACCTCATGGTCGTTTTAATTTGCATCTCTCTGATGATTAGTGATGTTGAGCATTTCTTCATATGTCTCTTGGCCATTTGTATGTCCTGTTTGGAGAGGTGTCTATTTAGCTCCTCCCCATTTTTTAAATTGGGTTCTTTGTCTTCCTTTTGTTGAGTTGTATGAGCACTATATATTTTGGAAATTAACCCCTTATCTGGTGCATCATTGGTGATTATGGTCTCCCATATAGAGGGATCCCTTTCCATTTTGATGGATGTTTCTTTTGCTGTGCAGAAGCTTTTGAGTTTGATGTAGTCCCATGTATTCATTTTTACCTTTGTTTCTGTTGCCTTAGGTGATGTATCAGTGAAAATTCTGCTGCATATGATGTCTGAAATTTTGTTGCCTACATTTTCTTCTAGGATTTCTATGGATTCACAAGTCACATTTAAGTCTTTTATCCATTTTGAGTTTATTCTTGTGTATGGTGTAAGTTGATGGTCTAGTTTCATTTTTTTGCATGTAGCTGTCTAATTTTCCCAACACTATTTATTAAAAAGGCTGTCTTTACCTGATTGTATGCTCTTGCCATCTCTGTCAAATATTAATTGAGCATAATGTTTTGGGTCCATTTCTGGGTTCTCTATTCTGTTCCACTGGTCTATCTGCCTGTTCTTGTGCCAGTACCAGGCTGTTTTGATTACAGTAGCTTTGTAGTATAACCTGATATCCAGTATTGTGATCCCACCTACTTTGTCCTTCTTTTTCAAGATTGCTGTGGCTATTTGGGGTCTTTTTTGGTTCCATATGAACTTTTGAAGTATTTGTTCTAGTTCTGTGATATATGTCATTGTTATTTTGATGGGGATGCATTGAATCTATAGATCGCTTTGGATAATATGGACGTTTTAATGATGTTAATTCTTCCAATCCATGAACAAGGTATTTGCTTTCACTTTTTGTATCTTCCTCTATTTCTTTTTTCAATGTCCTGTAGTTTTCTACAAATAGATCTTTTACTTCTTTGGTTAAGTTTATTTCTAGGTATCTTAATTTTTTTGCCGTAATGGTAAATGGGATTGTTTTTTAGTTTCTCTTTCTGTGAGTTCATCATTGGTGTATAAGAATGCTGTCAATTTCTTGACATTAATTTTGTATTCTGCTACTTTGCCAAATTCATTTATTAAGTCTAATAGATTTTTGGTGGAGTATTTAGGGTTTTCTATGTATGATATCATGTCATCTGTGAATAATGACAGTTTTACTTCCTCCTTTCCAATTTGGATTCCTTTTATTTTTTTCTTCATGTCTGATTGCTGTGGCTAAGACTTCCAGAACTATGTTAAATAAGAGTGGCAAAAGTGGGCATCCCTGTATTGTTCCTGTTTTTAAGGGAAATGCTTTTAATTTTTCCATTGAGTATGATGTTGGCTGTAGGTCTTTCATATATGGCCTCTATTGTGTTGAGCTATTATCCCTCTATTCTCACATTGCTGAGCGTTTTTTATCAGAAATGGGTGCTGGATTTTGTTGAATGCTTTTTCAGCGTTTATTAATATGATCATGTGGTTTTTATCTTTCATTTTGTTTATGTGGTGTATCACATTTATTGATTTGTGAATATTGTACCAGCTTTGCATCCCTGGGATGAATCCCACTTGGTCATGGTGAATAATTTTTTTGATGTATTGCTGGATCCGATTTGCTAGTATTTTGTTCAGGATTTTGGCATCTATGTTCATCAGGGATATTGGCCTGTAGTTTTCTTCTTTGTAGTGTCTTTCTCTGGTTTTGGAGTTAGAATTATGCTGGCCTCATAAAACGAGTTTGGAAGTCTTTCTTCTCCTTGAATTTTTCGAAATAGTTTGAGGAGAATGGATGTTAGTTCTTATGTTCGGTAAAACTCCTCTATGAAGCCTTCTGGGCCTGGGCTTTTGTTTGCTGGGAGAGTCTTGATTACCTCTTCAATTTCCTTAGTTGTTATTGGATTGGTTCCTTTTAAAGGCTGTAAAGAAGAAACTGTTCTAGCTTTGGTGGTTTGCTGGGAATCTTTGGCAACTTTCAGACAACCCAGGGATTTTCTAGAGTTACTATTGCTAATTCTTAAAATCCATACTTTTCTCTCACTTCTATTGTTTCTTTTTAAAAAATAATCCTCACCCTAGGATATTTTTCTATTTATTTTCATATAGAATGGGAGGGAGGGGTAGAGAGAGAGAGAGAGAAACATCAATGTGATAGAGATACATCAACTGGTTGCCTCCCACATGACCCCACCAGGGCCGAGGACTGAACCACAACCGAGGTACGTGCTCTTGACCGGAACTGAACCCCAGACTCTTTGGTCCACGAGCTGATGCTCTAACTGCTGAGTCAAACCGGCCAGGGCTATTGTTTCTTTTACAGTTTGAAAGGGATCCAAGAAGCTTATGCTAATTTGCTGTCCCTCAAGAGCAAAAAATGTCCTCAGATATTCTTCTTTCTCTACTAAGCACTGTCTCTGTATTCCCCAGAAGTAGCTAGAAGATACATTAGAAAATGGGAGGTCAGGAGAAATTAGGAGCAACATGTAAATTCTGAGAAAACCTAAATGGTAATGACATGTTCCATTTCTCTAGACTTTAGCAAGAGATACATTTAAGAAAGAAATTAGTATCAACCTAGAGAGTTCCTCATACATGTGTATTTGAAGCATTAACAAGGTTTTAAATTGCTGCATATAAACATTAGCCAAGCCCGGCCAGTGTGGCTCAGTGGTTGACCCATGACCAAGAGATCGCGGGTTCGATTCTCGGTCAGGACACATGCCTGGGTTGCAGGCTCTATCTCCAGTGGGGGGTGTGCAGGAGGCAGCCAATCGATGTTTCTCTCTCACACCGATGTTTCTATCTTTCCTCCCTTTCTCTCTCTTTAAAAAAATCAATAAAAAATTTTTTTTAAAAAATCAGCCAAAAAATTCCAAAGCAAGAAATATGACGGATTAGATAAAATGAATTAAGTAGATCCCTATATATACCGACTGGTAAGAATTTGTAAAGGATGCCATTAAGTGAAAAAAGGGTTAAGAATCATTTGCTTAGTATAGCATTTATGTAAAAATGACCTAGTGTTAAACCAAACTGTATCTCTATATGTCCACGCCTGCTTATGGACTTGCATAGAGAAAGGATGGGAAGCAAACACATGGCCACCTCTGCCCGGCTGGTGTGGCTCAGTGGTTGAGCGTCAGCTCATGCATCAAGAGGTCGCTGGCTCAATTCCCGGTCAGAGCATATGCCCAGGTTGTGGGCCAAATCCCCAGTCGATGTTCTCTCTCATTGATGTTTCTATCTCTCCTTCTCCCTTCCTCTCTCTCTAAAATTAATAAAAGGAAAAAAAAACTTTAAAAAACAAAAACAAAGCACGTGGCCGCCTCTAAGAGGGACAGTAGGGTTGGCAGAGTGGTGACAGGGACCTTTCACTTTATTTGTATTATTTCATCTTTTTACAATGAAACTGGCAGTTACTTCATTTCAAAAGTCAGTGAGGGACGTTGAATTTGAAAGTGACATTCACGGAGTTTCTTCTTCCCTACAGAAAGAAAAAAGGTGTTTCAAGATGTCCTGTCGTGTTTGAACCTGGATAGGAGCAGAAAGCTTCTGCCCGACTCTGTTAAACAGTTCTCCTTGGATCGAGGATGTGAGTGGACACCCGCAACTCCGGGAGACTTAGCCTGGAACTTCCTGGTGAAAATTCAAGCACTGGATGTGACGGCCGGAGACTCGAGCCTTCGACACGAGGTTCTGTGTGAGGACAGCAAAGGGGACTTGCCAAGTGGAGCAGAGAATCTGGAAACGAGGGACATCCCCACCGTGCACCCCCTGGACGTGCTTTGCGCGTCTCTGCTGTGCGCAGACAGCTCCCTGCAGCACCTGGTCATGTCGGGCCTGCATCGATGCCGGTCTGCTCTCCCCCTGCTGCTGCCAGACGCAGAGAACAGCAGAGCCATCCTGCTGCTGGGGGCCATGCAGGACCTTGTGAAGGAGCAGCCAGCGCAGCCTTCAGGAGGCCCGGCGGGGGAAGCCGGAAGGTCTCTGGCTCTCATGAAGACGCCTGTTATCTCTTTTGTGCGTCTAGGAGACTGTAGCTTCTCCAAGTCCAGAATCCTCAACACACTGCTCAGCCCTGCCGGCTCGAAGCCACACCAAATCTTCCTCCACCAGGACCGGCCTGTTCCGGCGCCTCCCCGGCGGATCTCCGACGGCCTGGTGCAGGTAGCGTGGTGCTTTCCTGCCGGCCACAGTCCCGAGGCGGACCCTTGTGTTTTCCAAGAGCCTGTCGCTGTGGCCAACCTTCGTGGAGATCTAGAAAGCTTTTGGACGCAGTTTGGTTTCCTGATGGAAGTTTCCTCTGCGGTGTTTTTTTTCACTGACTGCCTGGGTGAGAGGGAGTGGGACCTGCTCATGTTTCTAGGAGAGGCTGCCATCGAAAGATGCTACTTCGTCCTCGGTCCCCAGGCCAGGGAGAGTGAAGAGGCTCAGATTTTCCAGACGATTCTGAAGTTGAAGCCATCACAGCTACTGTTTTGGGAAGAAGAAGGAGCTGAGGAGAAAGGGAGGAACATGAAGGGCCTCTGTGCTGCCCTCAAAGAAGTAATGTCCTTGTCACTCAGACGTGTGTCTGTGGAGGACATGGCCTCCCTGGCCAGGGAGTTGGGGATCCAGGTAGACCAAGACTTTAAGGACATTGAAGGAATTCAAGTTTCCCCGGGTGAAGACGTGGCTGGAGCAGTTGAAGGTGAGGGACAGCAGAGACACAGGCAGCCAGAAGGCCCCTCTGCGGGCCCCGCGGGGGAGCCTGGGAGGGAGCCTGGGAGGGAGCCTGCAGCCGCAGGCCAGATTCGTCAGGACGTCCACCTGCCCCCCGGGCCCAGGCCTTCTGTGCAAAACCCCGGTCCTTTCCCAGTCGGACTTGGAGACCACTTGAACCGCGTTCCTTGGGAAGCCCCTTGGATGATGCACTTCCACTTTGGGTCAGAGCAGAAGTCTAAGTGGTTCTGTCCTCCACCCTTTCAGAAGTCAGGGGTCCGTCGTCAAGGTAAAAGTTGTGGGGTTCAGTACTTCCAACCCCAGAGATTTTGTTCCGGTGAAAGGTTTATGAAATTTTCGAGGCCTGCTCGGGGACGTCACGGTGATGGCCTGCTTGGGAGTCCACCAAAACCCTTTTGTCAGCGGGCACAGGCCTGGCCGGGCAGGTGGCAGACAAGGGCAGCTTGCGAAACGCCTGCCACAGTGGTCTCCCAGCTAGTTCACTTCCATTCACAGCCATCAGGACCAGCCGGGAAGCCACAGCCTCGGCAAGGCCAGGCCCAGGGAGCACCACCGCCGAAGGCAACCGGAAAACCGGTGAGAACAACACCTCACACTGTGAATCCTCACTCTGGAGCCTTTCAGCCAGCAGGAGTCATGCAAAGACCCCCCAGGCCCCCCTTTCAACAGGGATTCAAGCCGAAGATACAAGGTGGTCCTTTAAATCCAGCTGGCCTAATGGGACCTCACCCCATGTCTAACAACAGATTTGTACCCAGCTCTCCGTTCATTCAGCCCAAGCCCTTCCAGGGCAAGCACCCCCAGCCCAAACCCTCCCAACCTGGGCCCTCCCAACCCAAACCCATGCAGACAAAACCCACTCAGCCCCAGCCCTCCCCAGCTAGAGGCTCTCCGTCCAAACCCACACAGGCCCAGCCCCCCCAAGCTAGAGGCTCTGCATCCAAACCCACACAGGCCCAGCCCCCCCAAGCTAGAGGTTCTCCGTCCAAACCCACACAGGCCCAGCCCTCCCCAGCTAGAGGCTCTCCGTCCAAACGCACTCCGCCCCAGCCCTCCCCAGCTACAGGCTCTGCATCCAAACCCACACAGGCCCAGCCCCCGCAAGCTAGAGGCTCTCCGTCCAAACCCACACAGGCCCAGCCCCCCCAAGCTAGAGGCTCTGTATCCAAACCCACACAGGCCCAGCCCCCCCAAGCTAGAGACTCTCCATCCAAACCCACTCCGCCCCAGCCATGCCCCCCCCAGTCCTTGCAGTCTAGGCCTGCGCAGCCCCGACCTCCTCAGCCCCAGTCATCGCAGACCAGACGTTCGCAGGCTAAGGCGTCCTACTCCAGAGCAGGGCCCAGGAGGGGAGGGAAGCATTGAAGTGCTTCCTGAGGCGTGACTGGCGGTGAGAGACTACTGTCATTGGCGTGACACCGAAACAAAGATATGCCCAGCCTAATTGGATATCATTAAACTATTGTCAGAATTGTGGCCCTGACAAAGAAGAAAAATATGAAAAGAATTAAGAATAGAATCAGGCTGTAAATAAATGAACTGAATCCAGCCTTGCGTGTTAGGTAACATATAACCTGAATCCAGGGACTGGGGGCTACGAGGCAGCCCCACTTGGGAACAGTGGGGTTGGAGTCTACAGTTGTAAAGTGATCATAAACCGGGGGTCCGGTGTCCTCAGTGTTGCAAATAAAATTGCCTTAGATGTTGATTGCTCCAGAGGTGTTTTGGTCAAAATTTTTGGTTTCATATTATCTACTAAGCGGATGAGCTTGTTGGTTTGGGATAATCAATTTGCTTGTGATCACAGCCCCAATTTGCTTGGATGATAAAACTCTCATTTGGCCCTTACATATAAAAATAATGAACTATCATCAAGCCAGTGTGGCTCAGTGGATTGAGTGTCATCCCATGGACTGAGGTCCTGGTTCGATTCCCTGTCAGAGCACATGCCCAGGTTGTGGGCTTGATCCCTAGTAGGGGCCATGCAGGAGGCAGCTGATCGATGTTTCTCATATTGATGTTTCTATCCCTCTTTCCCTTCCTCTCTCTAAAAAATCAATAAAAATATATTTTAAAAAAAGAAATAATGAACTATTTTTTTTTTTTTTTTATCCTCATCTGAGGACATTTTTGCATTTTTTGTTCAGACAGAGCGGGAGGGAGAGAGAGGAAGAGAGAGAGAGAGAAACATTGATGTGAAAGGGACACATCGAGTGGTTGCCACCCGCACGACCAACCAGGGCCGGGGACAAACTGCAACCGAGGTACGTGCCCTTAGCGGGAACTGAACCCGGGTCTCTCTGTACTGCAGGCCGACGCTCCAACTGCTGAGCCAAACCAGCTAGGGCAGAAATAACGAACTATTAACCAAAAAAATTAATTATTTTTAATTAACTTTAACAGTAATCTGTGGCCCTGGCTGGTTTGGCTCAGTAGTTAGAGCATCAGCCTGAGGACCAAAGAGTTGCAGGTTCGATTCTTGTCAAGGACACGTACCTGGGTTGCAGTTCGGTCCCAGGCCTTGTGGGAGGTAGCCAGTCAATGTGTCTCTCTCACATGGATGTTTCTCTCTGTCTCTCTCTCTCTCCCCCCCGTCCCTCCCACTGTAGCTAAAGATAAATGGAAAAATATCCTCGGGTGAAGATTAAAAAAAAGGATAATCTGTGTATGTTTCATATTTGTAAAAGGTGAAAGATTTATACTATCTGAAGAGAAACCAGAGTATGATATTTTAAATATTTGTAATAGGTAAGATAATTTGGCTTATTATTAGAGGATCTGATATATGAGCCTCATGATTTCAGTTTAAAATGTATAATTAAGTTTTTAATGTTAGAGTTGTTATTATTATTTTTTTTATCCTCACCCGAGGACATTTTTCCATTTTTTGTTCAGATAGAGTGGGAGGGAGAGAGAGAGAGAAACATCGACATGAAAGGGACACATCGAGTGGTTGCCACCCGCACAACCCAACCAGGGCCAGGGACAAATTTCAATCGAGGTATTTGCCCTTAGCAGGAACCGAACCCGGGTCTCTCTGGACCACAGGCCGACACTCTAACTGCTGAGCCAAACTGGCCAGGGTGAGTTATTTTTTTAAGATGAAAAGATTAAGATCTGTTTACATAGTTTGTTAAAAGCATTGAAATGTTTAAGAGAAGTTAAAATTCACAGAATTTACAGTTTTAATTTATTAGATTTATTTTTGTCCTAAACATTTTGCTAAGTTCTGCTAGTTTGAAGCATTAAGTAAAAGGACTATATTAATTTAAAATATTTATGTGAAGTTTTAATTAAGTTTGTAAATGATATCAAATATTAATAAAAGGCCACTTTAAAGATAAATGTTAAAAATGTATTATATAGAAATAAAATAATAATATGATGAATTGAATTAGAAGCTCTGGTTTTTGAATTTGTAACTTTTATAAAATTAATATTGATTTTAAGTACTAAAATAGTCCCAAGTTGTCTAGTCTGATGGAAAAAATTGCCTTCAATAACTCACAAAAAAATTCTGTTGACAGGTAGATGAGAAATGATCTTTGGAAAGGAGTATCTCTGCTGCAATAGGTATCCTTCATTTGTTCGTGCATGTATTCAACAATCAATATTGTACTTAGAGGGTGTTCAATCCCTCTAAAGGTTTTGGTAAGGGTGAAGAAAGAAAAAGACTATGCATGTGAATTTTTATCTTTGGAAGGAGGAAAAGCATACTAACTAGTTCATAACTACAAAATGTGTAGAAGTGGTGTCTCTCAAATGAAAATAGTTCCGTTGTGGTTTAAGCTTTTGAAATAAGCAGTAGTTGTGATACTTCTTAAAACCTTTCTCTGAATCCTTCAAGATTAGTCCCTTGAGGATAGAACTTGTTGGGTTACTGTCACCAGCAGATTCGGCATCTGTCTGTGTCGTGAAGATACATATATGGTACATTCAAACTGGACAATTGAAGAGAGTTTAATAAAGGGACCATTTATAGAAGACTGAGCAAGATGTAAGAACAGCACAAAGGAGAGTAAAAGTGAGGTACATGCCACCCCAAGGCTCGGGGTGGGGGGTGCTTGCTCCAATCGGAAATGCTGTGTGGAAAGAGTCTTGGGCTGGGTGGTTGAGGGACACAGCAGGCTGCAGTACCCCACAGGGAACACACATCCACTCCTTTCCCCTCAATGCCAGGCATCTCTTTGGCCAAATCCAAGCAAACACCAGAGAACAAGGAGCCTGTCTGGGCAGTTCATGTAGGTCAGACTTCAGGTTTGAGAGTGGTTCTAGAGGGGCAAGCAGAAGACACCGAGCAGATTCCTCCCTTTCCATTCCATCTTCCTTTTCTCTTTTTCTTTTCTTTCTTCTGACATTTATTTATTGAGCATCTATTATGTGCAAGGCATTGGATTAGGAACTGAAAAGACATGGGAACAGAATGAGAGATGCTTCTATAGTTGTGCAATCCTATAAATCTCTTTCCTCATTATCATAGTATAAACTTATTATACATAGTTTAGAAAAGCAAGAATAGACAATAAAGAAACATAAAAATAATCTCATAACTCAGAGTAACTAGAAATGTAGTCCTCTGGCTCACAAATAATGTTCTTATGTATTTTTTCTATGCATGTATAATACAGGCAGCACTCAGTTACATTTTGAGTCTGTACTAGGGTTGAATGTGGCAAAGTCAAACACACTGTTAGGGGCATGCAGTGTAAACAGCATGAAATATTGATTTTCCAGACTTTCTAAGAAAGTGTGAATTTGGGACATGAAATATAGTTTTTTAAAAAATTGATTTTAGGAGAAGAGAGAGGGAGAGAGAGAGAGAAACATCAATGTGAGAGAAAAACATCAGTTGTTTGCCTCCGGTACACATTCCACGTGGGGATAGAATCTGCAACCTGAGTATGTGCCCTGACCGGGAATTGAGCCAGTGACCTTTTGGTGCATGGACAATGCTCAACTAACAGAGCCACACCAGCCAGGGCCATAATATATAGTTTAAGGGTGTCATTGTATAATGCACAGTTCCACTTATTTTAAGTCAAATGTGCAAAATTTAGAAATCACCTGTTTGTGTTTGTATTATTTACTAAGCTGAGAGCATTTCATTTGTATCTGACTTCTGAAGAGACTACCCAATGATTTACCTCTGTCAACATCTCAAAATTCTTCCTTAAAACAATTTATATTTTATAGAAATAAAATTACTTGTTCTTGTCCCACCGGTGTAACTCAGTGGTTGGGCGTTGACCCATGTACCAAGGGGTTGCCTGTTCAATTCCCGGTCAGGGCACATGCCCAGGTTGTGGGCCAAATCCCCAGTGAGGAACGTGCAGGAAGTGGCCAATCGATGTTATATTTCTGTCTTTCTCTTCCTCTCCCTTTCTCTCTCTCTTTAAATCAATAAAGGAAAAAAAGAACATCGGAGGCCCAGAAGAGGAAGATGACGTCACCACATGGCGTCCTAAACAAACACCCAACGTTCATTCCTACCACCTTAATCGTTAATGTTTGCTATTTATTATAGGGTATACATTATTTTAGTGATGGGGAGGGGTGGTAATTGCCTGGATTGAAGAGAGGATTTTGAATAATGTTGCAGTGAAGAAAGAATTTTGGGGGCATGTACTCTTTTAAATGAGGTTGCTGTTGCGATCTGGGTGTTGCCTGCCTGATCCTCGATTACACACGAGGACGATAAAGTTTTCTATTATTCTGTAATAGAAATATATACCGGAGTGTTCCCTAATTGAAGGCATTGACATTCGTTACACCCGTTTGGCAGGTTTTCTTAAGTTTTAAAGCAGTGTGGTTTTTATGATCTGAGTGTGCACAAAACCCACTTGAGGTGGTTGTTAAAAGTGCAGATTGTTGGAGCTCCCCGCAGAGATGCGGATTCAGTAGGTCTGAGGCACAGCCTCTTACAGGAGCCCCCACAGAGGCAGAAGATCCCGGGCCGCATCCCGAAGAACCCAGACACATCCTGGGCTGCAAATCTGCTTTCTGGGGCTCAGAAAGGAGCTTTCTTCTGGGCGGGAAATGCAGGCTGCGATGATTCATCACCATTCTCATTCAACTCATTCAACTCATTCTTCTCCTGCTGGGAAACGGTGGACTAAAAGTCAGGAGGTAAAACGTATCCACGTAAGATCAGGACTGTTCTGCCTGTAGATTCCCGTATTAACACTTTCTCTTTTGTCTGCAACTTTTGCCCCTGATTCCATGGAAAAGATGTCCTTTCATTTTTCAAAATGTGCTTCTTTTTCTTTACTGCATGGCTCAGAGTTGATTGTTTTCTCAAGCCTCGGTCTTGTCCAGTGTCACCAGTATATATAACAGCATTCTCTCTCTAAGGGGAGAAAGACTGCAGGGGATTAATGCGGTGGAATTTTTGGCTGGGTCCTCATTGGACACTAGCAGGTCTCCGGGCCTCACAAACTAGATACATTTCTCTGGAGTGGCCGAGGCAGAGAGAAAGGAGACTTGATCAAGATACTGAGATGCTGTGCTGTCCTCAGAAGGGCACCTGGTGCCATGTCCTGTCCCTGGTAAACCCCCACCCCCACCCCTATGCTCCAGTGTGAGCAACAAAACCCAAAGCGAGATTCGAGTACCGTGTACCTTTAATATCTGCCCCACTTCCCATAACGGGTGGGAGAAGGGATGAGGTAAGGGAGGAGGAGATACTACTAATTCCAAGGGTATCAGTTCATACTTCAAGTATCATCCCATCACAACAATAGCCTGAAGGGTGGGGACGGAGTTTGAGGAAGGGCAGCATTTAGGGGTCAGGCAGAGGACCCATGCGGTACAAGGAGAAAGACGGGGTGCAGATGGTGAACCAAGAGGGGTGCCCGGAGGCCTGGGAGGGTGTGTTCCCAGAGGACAGCAGAGACTGTTGTGGGTATTTGATCATATTAAACTTTGTGTAATTAAAATTATTTA